CCTGTCTCCCTTCCCCACGCCCACTGGTGCTGGAGTCAGCCCCCCAAATAAAGCACTTGCATTCAAATTCTTGTCAGGACCTGCTGTGGCGCCTCTCCACTGGGCAGTGGGTGGATCTGAGTGACCGCATGTTTGTATGAACGTCTTGCTAATTGTGTAGCTGTACACATATGTTTGTGTATTTATAGGCACATTGTGTTTAGGTTTGTGTGTGCATACATGTGCAAATACATGCATGTTCATGTGTTGCTAGCCTATATGTATAGATGTGAAAGTATGTGGGTGTGAATATGGTTGATTTTGTGTCCTGTGTGAGGGCTGCATCACGTGTGTTTGTGTGTGTGTGTGTGTGTGTGTGTGTGTGTGTGTGTAGCACCTGGGGGGGTTGCACTGGGCAGGGTGAGTCATGGAGAGATGAGGGGGAATCAAGAAGGAGCTCTGAGTATTTCAACCTTGGAAACTCATTTCAATTATGATGTATAACCTGCAGACAAAGACCACAGTCACCGTGGCAACCACAGCTGTGGGGTTTTGATGGAGAAAGTCCTCTCTGACCGCTTGCTCCCTGTCTGGCCGTCCCTGTGGCAGAGCCGCACGCATGTCTGGCTTGCTGGGCCTGGGACACAGTCAGGACAGCTCCACGCTGTCAGTGCTGCTGCCGGTGCCGCCATGCGTCGGGGGTCTGCCTCTTCCACCGTCTGTCTCTCAGGAATGTGTGTCTTGCCTCCTCCTGGAACCGTAGCACCCCTGCCTGGGCCTGGGGTCTCACCTACCTGTGAGAGGGGATTTTCTGACCCACTTTCCCTCCGTGACCACCCACCTCCTCTAGCCCCGCAGACGAGGATCCTCACCTCCTGGCTAGGCCTGATCTGACCGCTGGTGCAGGGCCTGGGCCCCAGAAAGGGGACAGAGGCAGGTCAGGGGTCTGGGTGGAGGGAGAGGAAGGGGAGGGACTGTTCAGGGTAGTGGAGATTCTTGTGGATTCAGAGAAATCTGGGTTCAAATCCCAGCCCTGCCAGCTGCCAACCAGGCCAGTCCCCAGGCATGTACAAACACCTACTAGGTGCCAGGATTCCTATGAGACTCTGGGTATCTCACTTGACCACCTGTGAACCTCAGTTACCTCCTCTGCTGGGGGACCGGTCCAGCCTCCCTCCCAGGGCCACAGGGGAGAGAAGATGGCAAGGGCATGCAGGCCTCTGGGCGCCAGCCGTGCCGGTGGGCTGTGTGCTGGGCCGTGTGCTGAGGGGCCGGGGCTGTGTGGAGAGCTGCATGATGACAGGCACAGCTTCTGGACAGAGCATCTTGTCCTTGTTTAACTGGTGTCTGTGACTCCTGCACCCTGTGGCAGCAAGTGCCAGCACACCTCCTGGGCTTTGTCGTGCTTCCTGTGGGGCTTGGGGGACGGGTCCTCAGGGTCTGAGGGGGTGTGTGTGTGTGTGTGTGCACTTGCGTGCGTGAGCCTGCAGAGTGCATTCTCAAGGCCTGGTGCTCTGTTGGAGGTAAAGGTTCCCTGCAGGCCTCTGCACTGCACGCCTCTGCACTGCACCTGTTTTCTCATCTGTAATTGGGGCTAGACTTGAGACAGAAGCCAAGGATGAGGAAGTGAGTTAGGAGTTTCTAGAAGTCCATGGCTGGCACCGTGACAGCTTGGGGTGGAGATTTGGAGGGCCCACAGAACCCCCAGCCCTTCTTACAGGAGGCTCCCAGGCTTCCTGGTGTGGGGTCCTCCTGTGGGGTGGTCCTCACTGCACTGTCTGCACAGGTGGCTTTGTGACCCCCAGCGAGAGCACTTGGTCCAGGGCCCGAGTGGCCCAGGAATGGATGCTTCATTGGAACTGCTGAGGAGGGGCTCCTGGGGAGACAGAGGGAGCAGAGGCTGAGGGCAGCTCAGCTGGGGAGGTACAGCCAGGGCCCATCGGCTGGGTGTGTCCTTGGCCTTGGGAGGGAGCTGCCTCCCTTCTGCAGTGGCCGCAGCCTCCTCCCCCTCTGTCCTGGTTAATAATTCAGTCTCATCCAGTTGAACTGAGGGGTGATGGGAACTGCAGGGAGCTGGTTTTACCTCCTTCAGGCTGCAGAGGGAAGGCCCTGGGGGCTGTGGGAGCAAGTGTGGGGTCCAGAGAGGGGGCTTTCCAGGCCACCCTGTCCCAGCCCCCACTGTCGCCCTTTGAGGACAGGATCGTGCCTTGCATTGCTCCCAGCTTTTAGAACCTTGTGATCAGCGGCCTGAGACAGAGGGCAGGCTGGTGGAGCTGGAAAATTTGCTTTTCACGTTCATCCTGTCTCTGTGCCTTGGCCTAGAAATAGCTTTTCCCGTTAGCAAAGCTCTGTTGGCACAGAGCTCTGAGGTGGGGTAGGGCTTAACACGTCTCTGTACCCTGGTGTTTAACAAACTTCTGTGGCAGTTGGCAAGCACCTGGCCTCTCTCTGTGACCTGCTGTGAATGTTAGCCCATTAGCTCTCCTGGGGCCCCGATCCTGTCCCTATGAGATGGGGTGGGAGGTTCAAGGTCAGACAGCTAGAGGTGCAGGCGGAGCTGGGGTTCCAGCCCAGACAGCTGTGCGCACACACAGCACACTGGTAGCCGGTTGTGCACTAGGGGCTTAGCTGATTGCTGAGAGCCGGGAAGGCAGCCTCGGAGCCCCCACCTCCAGCCCTGAGGCCACACCGAGAGCTGTGAGCTCTGTCTGGACTGAGTGGTGCCTCCCAGAGCCGACTGGTGGTCTGCCCCAAACTGTCCGGTCTGCGTGATGACTCTGGACTCTGACTCGAGGTTGGGGGAACTGGAGGCAGGGTCAGCCCTCGGTCACAGGGTCTCGGTGACCCTGGCCGGGACGTGCGGCATGCCGTGGAGCCCTGGGCAGGCAGGGCTCAGTGCCACTGGGTGAAAACGCAGGACCCGGGAGCTGAGCTGGGGACTCCTGGGGCCTAAGGTCGTGTGCAGTCCGGGATGGAGGGTGGGAAGGGGCGGGAGCTGGGACCGCTCTTCCTGTCACCAAGAGGCTGGCTGTGTGACCTGGGTCTTCCCTGTCTGGGCTTCAGTGTTCTCACCTGTAAGATGTCAGAATTGGAGCAGATGGTCCCTACAGTCCTGCCTCCCTAGCTTTGGGATTCCAGGGTTTCTAGCATCCACTCAGCAGTCGGTGAGTGTCGTCCTGAGCGGGGCTGAGAGTGGGCTGGGGGCCTGGCCAGCTGAGGGGTGACCTGCCACAGCCTGGTTATCCTACTTCCTGGGGGTGGGGTGGCAGATCCTCCAGGTATGAGGGGATTAGATGGTAGAGCAGACCAGAGGGACAGCAGCATGTCCCCTGCACCCCGTGTCTGTCTCTGAGGTATTAAAGGGGGTGGACATAGTGACCTCAGGAGTTCTGGGGAGATCAGGGCCTGGTGCTACTCTGGCCTAGCCTGGCCCGCCCACAACAGGTGCTGGAGGCTCAGGCCAGTGGCTCATAGGGCTGGGTGGGCATGGACACAGCTGCTCACCTTGCTGTCCGCTGGGGAATTACCTTGGCGAGGCGTGGCACTGGCCCTCTAGCACGGTGGCCTGGGGTGGGGGTGTCTCATGAGGGGTGATTTCTGGCCTTGTGGGAGGAGGCTGTGGCCATGCTGTGTGCAGGGGCTGTGGCCTTGGGAGGGAAACTGGGCTTCTGTGGCCCTCTGTTTACCCCCCTGCCTGCTGCCATCCCCCTGCCCCCATGTCCTCGCCTCGGCATCCCGGCCCCCTCTTCTCCTCCCCTCCTTACTTTCCCGCCCCCTCCCCCAAACCTGGCTCCCACAGTCCCTCAAGCATAGTGTGGGGCACAGGCTTGGAGCCAGAGTACGTGGGCTCAGATCCAGCCCTGCGTGGTCCTGGAACGTCACTGAGCTTTTCTGTGCCTCAGTTTCTTCGTCTCTGTAGTGGGGGTAATTCCTCACCTAAGCGTTATTTTGAGAATTCAACAAGTTAATAAACACAAAGAGCTTCTAGTGGTGCTGGGCATGGAGGAGGTGCGTGGTAGAAGTGAGCAGTCCTTAGTCTTCACAACCCTTACTGGCCGGCCGGGAAGCACCCCCTCCTCCAGGAAGCCATCCCGGCCTGTCCCCTCCTTCGGAAACCCCTTTTGGGGACCACTTAGCACAGTGATGATGTAGCATGGTCACCTACTCTGTGCCCAGTGTTTTCCGTACCTCATCTCACAGCACCTCTGCGGCGCAGGACACGATCCTCTTTTACTGAGAGGACGCCAAGGCCTCTGGCGCCCAGGAGCTGTCACAGGGCGGAGCGGAGCAGTTGGGTGTGCCCAGAGGAAGGCTAGAGCCCTGAGGCAGCAGTGCGGTTTGCAGTGAGAAAGGGGTAGGGGTGTGTTCCCCATTTTGCAAAGTTTGCTCACCCTGGCTAATGGGGAGGCCATTGACTTGGGGGAAGAGTGGGTAGGGACAATGGTGACTTCCGGTGTCTGGGGCAACTAGAGGCCATTGAGGGAGGACATCAGGAAGCCTGGGCCCTGAAACCTGGGGGACTTTGGTAGTCTCTCAGCCTTTCTGGGCCTCGTTCCCCACCTGCGCACTGTGGTGTGGGCAGTGTGTGGCTGCCAGGGGTGAGTGGTGTGGGGGCACCACTGCCCTCAGTGGCAGACAGAGCTCTTGTCCTGGTGATTTCCCAGCATGCACTGGGCCTGCTGCTCCCAGTGATTATTCTGGGCTAGGTGGGGCGGTGGGGGCGGGGAGGAGGGGAAAGGCAGGCACCACAGCCACTGGAGAACAGTGACAAGGGCATCTGCCCTGGCTGTTCTGGGGCCTCTGGGCACAGGGTGCAGGGCGCAGAGGTAAGGGCAGCGGGCCTCCCCTTCACCCTTCGGGCCCCCAGGCACCTCCACCAGACCGTCTCTGGGGGCAAGCAGGCTGTGGGCGAGGACCCAGGGGAGCCAGCCCACTTGGGTGCTGCACCTGTTCTGCTGCCCACTGCGCCGTCTGAGAGGATGGTGGGCATCGCGGCGCTCATGCTGGGTGTTTGATTGCAGACCGCGAGCGCATCGGGCAGGACTCGGCGTATGAGCAGGAGGGAAAGGTGCAGTTTGTGATTGACGCCGTGTACGCCATGGGCCACGCGCTGCATGCCATGCACCGGGACCTGTGTCCGGGCCGTGTGGGGCTCTGCCCGCGCATGGACCCCGTGGATGGCTCCCAGCTGCTCAAGTACATCCGCAGTGTCAACTTCTCAGGTGGGAGCATGGTGTGGGGCACCACCCAATCCTGGGGTCCTGCTCCATGCAGCCGGGGACAGGCCCTGGGCTCTGTGGGGTGGGGTTGGGGGATCTCTTCAGGTGTTTCCAAGGGGTGAAACCCGCCCAGATGCCCATGCAGGGGCCTCCCCAGAGGCATCTTGGCCCTGGGCTCATAACCCCCACAGCCTTTGGGTAAAGTCTCAGCAGAGACGCTGAGTGTGTGACGCCCACTGCCTCCCACAGGCATCGCAGGGAACCCCGTGACCTTCAACGAGAATGGAGATGCGCCTGGGCGCTACGACATCTACCAGTACCAGCTGCGCAACGGGTCTGCTGAGTACAGGGTGATCGGCTCCTGGACTGACCACCTACACCTAAGAGTAAGCGCCTGATGGGGGGTGGGGGGAGGCCCAGAGGGTAGAGGGAGAGTCATTTAGTCTGTCCCAACCCTCTGGAGGGGGCCAGGAGGAGACGGCCCCTGAGTAGCTCCCCCCCACGCCGATCTCTGGGATTGCAGCCACCAAATCGGGGTTTTGTTCCACGCCCCCCTAGACCTCACAGGGCCCTGAGGCCAGCACCCTGAGAGGGAAGGACAGGGCAGCTGGACTTCCGCTGTGTGTCTGCCCCTGCCCTTTCCCTTGGCCCCGGGCCTTTCTGCCTGTTGCCCACTTGCAGGGCAAAGCAAGACACCAGCTAGCCACCTCCCGCTGGAGTGAAGTGGTTCGGAGGCTGCATAGTGCAGGGCAGGATGGTGGGGTGGCAGGGTGGCGGGGTGGGGGGCTATGTTTGGACAGAGGATGATGTTTAAGGCAGAGGTGCAGTCAAAGGGTGAGCGTGTGGGAGTCGGTCCTCCAGCACTGCCACAGCGCACAGGGAGGCCCTTGTTCTCCTGGGCATGCGGGGGTGGGGCACTTCTCCTGGGTCCGCCCAGCCACACCTCCCCAGCTCACAGCTGCTCAGGGACAGGGTGGCTCTGCCTCTCCGGCCCTCAGGGTCCCCAGCTGTGAGATAGAGCAGTGTCCTTAGAGAGGAAGGACCTGTGGTTTGTTCCACAAGGAAGTGCCTGTGGACTTGGTTCCTGCCTCACAAGGCGAAGGGGGAGCCGGGCTCTGGCGTGCACAGCGTGACACCTGGACGGACCAGGGAGGCTCCCCGGCCCAGGTCTGCACCTGGCCTTGGCCACACTTGTTTGCGTCCTCAGAGAGTACACTGTGTCCCACCGCCTCTCTGGTTCTAACATCTCCGCTGACGAGCCCCTGGAGCTCTTCAGAGCTCTTTCTGCCCATGACCTCAGTGAGCCTGACAGTCTCTGAGGTCAGAGGCAAGATCTCAGGAAAGCCAGCCTGAGGGATGTCCGAAGACCACACAGCATGGGGTGGGGAGCGGGATGGAGCCCATTGCTATGGTGATGCTCCTTGGGTTGCTGGGCAGAGACAGACGGAGCAGGGCAGGTGGGAGCACTTGGCAACATGGGAAGTTACCCCATGTGGAGCTCTGTCCCAGCTGAGTGCAGTGGGGACCAGCAACTCCGTTCCTAGTAGCAGCAGCAGCTGGTCCTTGCAGAGCACCCGCGGTGCACAGCTCCTGCTCTGAGCACATGACCTCACTGTGAGGATGGCAGCCTGTGGGCAGGCAGGTACTGTTACTGTCCCATGCTACAGGTGTGGTAGGTAAGCAAAGGCAGGGTGTGGGTGTGGGGGTTGCAGCGGACTCCTCCCCTGAAGGCCCCTCAACCAGCATGGAGTATGGGGGGTGGGAGGAGGTGAGCAGGGCCTGGACCACCACACTTTTTCCTTGAATGCCCCCTTTGGGCTGTGCTGTGGGGGTCATAGAGCAGGTACGGCTCAGGGGTCCAAGGAAGAAGCCTCCCCCTGGCTGCCCGTTGTCCTCCTCCTGGGTCTGAGGCGGCCTCTCATGGCTGATGCTTCTCTGTAGATTCCCCGGAGATTCATGGCCCTGCTGACTTGGCCCTGCCTGGAGGCTGGAGGTGCAGCAGGGAAGCAGGCACACAAACCCTGCCCTTGGGGCTGACTTCGGGCAGAACCAAAGGTTTTCCCTTATGACGTCCAAGTGGAAACCACCCTAAGTAACAAGGGCAAGGCGGCTTCCCATCTGTCGGGTCAGGTGGAAAACAAAGGCTCAGTGAGGTGGGAGGTTTGCTCAGGGGCGCATGGCCAGCTGGCAGCATGCTGTGGTCTGCGGTTGGAGCTCATCCACGGCAGCCAGAGTTTTCCAGAACCTGCGCCCTCTGGGGAGGGGTCCTGGCCCTGCAGGCCAGGTGCATGGGGAGTGTCCTCGCCACCCCAGCGTAATGATGGCGCTGGTCGTTGCTGTGCTCTTTGGCTGACGGGACCACACGACACTGGACCACACGACACCGGACCACACGACACCGACACTGTCATGCCTTCTTCCTCATGGTTTTCCTCTATCTGCTGGGAGGCCATCCTTGGATTCCCCGCCCCACCCCGCCCTCGTTCCTCAGCTCTGAAACCCTCTCTTTGGCCTGGAGCCCCTGTCTGCTCCTCCGGGAGGGAGCACCCGGCGCCAGCGTGAGCCCAGGCCGGGCAGGCCGGCTGCTCCCCAGCCACCCACCCTCCATTAGCGTGTCTTGTGTCTTCACGTAGAACAGATGTTTGAAATTGGCTCCCAGGTGTGGTCAGCTCCCTTGCCAAGTGTCTGGAGCTCCTCTTCCTTGCTTACCGTCCAGGATGCTGTAGTGAGTGTAGCACGTGCTCACACTCCTGTGGCTCCCTTGCTCATGGTGCCTTGTCTTCAGAGACATGGGGTGGTGACCAGCACTAGTTTAGAGCACGATGTAAGGAAACACTAACCCCTGGGCACTTGGCGAGTGTCCGCTGAGTAAACCTGTGCTTCTTCTCCGCTGACCACAGTGCCCTGGTCTGCCCGGAGGAGGCCCCTCGGGCTGAGCTATAGGGAGAGCTTCCCCACTCCAGGGTGCACCCGAATCACCTGGGTCTTGTTGAAGCTCAGACTCTGAGTCAGGAGGTGTGAGGCGGGCCAGAATTCTGCTTTTCCCACCAGCTCCAGGGCGATGCTGCTGCCGCAGGCCTGGGCCCCCTGCTGAGTAGCAAGGTGTTAAGAGGGTCAGCACTCCTGAGCTCTCTCTGCTCTGCAGAGTGAGTCCAGCCTGTCGCTGCTGCTGTCTGAGTCCCCCCACACAACCCTTGAGAGTTTTGGACTCGATCAGGATCCCCCACAGGTCAGCGTACCTGAATCATGAGGGGAGCTTGGTTAAATCCAGCTGTTGGTTCCGCAGGTCTGGGGTCCCAGGCAGCTGGAGCTGGAGCCAGCCTGCTCAGGTGGGGCTGTGGCGGGGTGGCCCGGGGCACTGGGGCATGTCCCGAGGCCGGCTCCTCTGTGCTGTCATTGCCAGATAGAGCGGATGCTGTGGCCGGGCAGCGGGCAGCTGTCGCCCCGCTCCATCTGCAGCCTGCCCTGCCAGCCGGGTGAGCGGAAGAAGACGGTGAAGGGCATGCCCTGCTGCTGGCACTGCGAGCCCTGCACTGGCTACCAGTACCAGGTGGACCGCTACACTTGTAAGACCTGTCCCTACGACATGCGGCCCACGGAGAACCGCACTGGCTGCCGGCCCATCCCCATCATCAAGCTTGAGTGGGACTCACCCTGGGCCGTGCTGCCCCTCTTCCTGGCTGTGGTGGGCATCGCGGCCACGCTCTTCGTGGTGGTCACCTTTGTGCGCTACAACGACACGCCGATCGTCAAGGCCTCCGGCCGAGAGCTGAGCTACGTGCTGCTGGCGGGCATCTTCCTGTGCTATGCCACCACCTTCCTCATGATCGCGGAGCCTGACCTGGGGACCTGCTCTCTGCGCCGCATCTTCCTGGGGCTCGGCATGAGCGTCAGCTACGCGGCCCTGCTCACCAAGACCAACCGCATCTACCGCATCTTCGAGCAGGGCAAGCGGTCAGTCAGCGCCCCGCGCTTCATCAGCCCCGCCTCACAGCTGGCCATCACCTTCAGCCTCATCTCGCTGCAGCTGCTGGGCATCTGTGTGTGGTTCGTGGTGGACCCCTCCCACTCAGTGGTGGACTTCCAGGACCAGCGGACGCTTGACCCCCGCTTTGCCAGGGGTGTGCTCAAGTGCGACATCTCAGACCTGTCGCTCATCTGCCTGCTGGGCTACAGCATGCTACTCATGGTCACGTGCACGGTGTACGCCATCAAGACACGCGGTGTGCCGGAGACCTTCAACGAGGCCAAGCCCATCGGCTTCACCATGTACACCACCTGCATTGTCTGGCTGGCCTTCATCCCTATCTTCTTCGGCACCTCACAGTCGGCAGACAAGGTGGGTGTGGGGGCTGAGGGGTGGTGGGGGGTGAGGGCAGAGAGCGGGGCGAGGCCTGGGGGTGGGTGCTGGCTGCGCCCCCCTCCCCCCGCTCTGGGACTGCCTTTCTTCATGCCTCATTCTCTCTCCACGGTGAGATTTTCTCCAGGTTCTGGGCTTTCTCTTCTCCCTTCCTGCCTCCTCTCCCTTTTCCCTCTGTCTCATCTCTTCCCTACTCTCTCCTTCCTCCTCCCTCCCCTCCTTTCTAGCCCCCTCTTCTTCTTCCCCCATCTCTGCACCCCTGCTCCTCCCACCCTTTGCTTTCTCCTCCCCTCCTTTCATCTTTTGTCTCTTGTTCTCTTCTCCGTGAGGCTGGGAGGCTGCACCTTCTTTTATTCTTCATTCTTTTTTAGTCTTTCCATTACTTTTCTCTCTCCTCAGCCCCACCTTCCTGTCTGTCCATTCCTCTCTTCTTCCTCCTCTGCCCACCTGCCCCCACCCTCACAGGACTCCCGTGGGCTCCTGAGGTGGGACATGTATCAGGTACTGCCCCCCCAGGCCCCAACCTGCCCGAAGCCCGGGAGGGCCCGTCCCCCAGCATGTCCTGCTGGCTCTCAGGCCATTCTGGATGCGTGCTGAGGGCCCCGTGGACTCTGTCCATGTTCCAGCACAGCTCTGCCCGGGTTCTGGGGGACTGTCTTGAAGAATTACCTGTCTGTGAAGAAGAGGTCAGAGACACAGAGGGTGGTGGGGACCCCAGACCCCAGTTCCTGGTCTGCACTCTGTGTCTAGCTGTGGGATCCCGGGCAAGCCAGCTGGCTTCTCTGCCTGTTTCTTCCTCAGTGGATTGGGGCCACGCCCCTTCCCCTGAACGCTTGTCGGTGTTTTCACAGTCACGCAATGCGATGGGTGTGGGAGCAGCTGACTGGCTGTGTGGGTCTGGGACTGAGCAGGGCGGTGGGGACGAGGCCGGAGACAGGGTGGGCGGCGTAAGACCCAGTGGCTGTGGGAAGGCTGTTGGCTTTTACTGTGGGTGAGGAGGAGCCGCCACTGTGGGGGTGTAAGCTGTGAGGGAAGTGTGGTGTAGGTTTTCAAGGGTCCCTCTGGCTGCTGGGTGGGGCCCGGGGGAGGCGAGCCGGGAGCGGGGTGCCAGTGCGGAGGTCACCGAGTCACCCCGACAGGCAGTGCAGCGGGCTGCTGGTGGGCAGAGTCTGGATGTGCCTGGGGGTGAGAGGAAGAGAGTCCAGGATGAGTCCATGGCTTTTAGCGTGAGGATGGGAGGGAAGGAGCGTTGTGCTCTAAGGTGGGGAAGAGGACAGAGGAGCCAGTGTCTGGTGGACACTAGGGGGTCCTTTGGGTGTGCTGAGTTTGGGGTGCCCCTTGGATGTCCAAGTGCAGCTGTCGAGTGAGAGTTGACAGCAATTGTCTGGAGCTGAGGGGCGAGGGCCAGGCTGGAGACATACTGGGCGGGGGGAGTTGTCAGACCGTGGGTGGCACTTGAAGCCGTGAGCCTGGGTGTGAGCTCCAAGGAAGGCTTGGCTGTCAGTGAGGCTGGCGTCCAAGCCAGGACAGAGGGTGCTCCGCATATGCCAGATGCTTCACCTGGTTAGCAGGTGAGGGTAGATATCACCATCCCCATTTATGGATAAGGCATGGAAGCACAGAGAGGCACAGTGACTTGTCTAAGATCATACAACCCGTAGGTGGCAGAGCTGGACAAGCCCTTCCTCTGTCTGACTCGGGAGCCCCCTGCAGCTCTGGGACACCTTCCTCGCCTTGGGGCTTTTTGGTAGGTGCCCACTTCTTCTCCAGCTGCTCCTCGAGGGCGGGAGCCATGCCCTCCCGTCCGAATGCCTTGGGCCCCACTGAGGGAAGCCCGGGGCCTGTTTTCCAGTGGTGCCTGTGAGCTGCGGTTCCAGGCAGCAGACCTGGGGGCTGGCAGTGAGCGCCCTGAGGTCAGAGACCAGGCCTGGCCCCTGAGCCAGAGCAGCCGCCAGGCCCAACTGGTGCTGAGAGCCAGGTCTTCAGCTCCCACCAGGCCTGCGGTGTGTGTGGGGGGCCTGGGGCCCTCCCTGCTGAGGGCAGGTGCAGGCAGAGGCCCCTCATCTGCAGTGCCAGGGGGGCCACAAAGCCAGCGGGGGGCGGGGTGGCCCCCCTCATACTTCCCGCCTCATACTCCGGGAAGCTGGTAGCTTGAGGAGTTACCCTCGGTTATACCAGGAGGCCTCTACCAACACCTCTGCAGAGAGTCAAGGCGCCCTGCTGGGAGGCTGACAGCATGGTGGTTAGGCCCCTGCGCTGCCTTCTCGAATTCCCTCGGGTTCCCTGCCTACACTCCGCTCCCAGCGGGGTCCCTGCCACCCCAGGTGTCAGACCCTCCCACCTCCAGTCCCCCAGCATCTCTCCAGCTGACCCCACCTGCTTCTGATCTCGCCCTTTTTGGGAGGCTCCCCTCGGCACTGATTATGAAAAGGGGCCTCTGAGAGGATTTCTTCTGAGGCCCAGAGAGAAGCAGGGTCTTGCCCCGGGCCACACAGCAGGCTGGCCTCACACCAACGTGTCCCCAGAGGACCCGGCCCTGGCCCTGGTGGTGTGGACGTGGGACGGGCCTCCTCCCTCTCTGGGCTTCTGCCCGAGGAGGGGGTGGGGCAGATGAGCTCTGAGTCCCTGCGGTTCGGACCACTAGGCTTCTCAGAGGCTCAGGCAGCCCTGGAGCTGTGCGTGCCGTGTCATGCAGCCACAAAACACCCAGCAGCAGCGGCAGGCCTGCCACTGTGTGTGCACACATGTGTGCATATGTGGGGGAGAGCAGGGCAGGTGTGGGCCGTTGTGGTGTGGGTGTAGAAGTGTTCACAGAGTGTGTATACCTTTTCGCGCACGTTCAGTGGTGGATGGGCGGGGTGTGTGTGCCCAGGGGTTCATGGCTGCTGGTGTGTGGTGTATGGCTGTACAGATTATGTGAGAATGTGTGAGTGCAAGTGTGAGTATGTGCAGGTGTGTGTGTATGTGTGTGTTCAGGTGTGTGCACAGGTATGTAAATGCACCTTTGTGTATATGCATACCCAAGTGTGTGCCCAGGTACATAAGGTACATGTGTGTACCTATGTGTGTACATAAGGTACATGGTACATGTGTGTATGTGTGAGTGCAGGTGTGTCTGAGTCAGGTGTGAGTATGCAGTTGTGAGCTCAGGTGTGTGTGTGAATGCAGAGGTGCATGAGAGTACAGGTGAGAGTGTGTGTGGTCATGTATGTGTGCAAACCTACTTGTAGGCGCTCTGCTGTGCCCCTCCCCAGGGTACAGGTGCCGGTGGGGCCATCTGTGCAGGGCTAGTGAGCAGGTGGCTGGATCCCCAGCATTAGCTCAGGTTCCCAGGGCTTACCACCACAGCCTGGCGGCATTACACTGAGCCCTCCAGAGTGGGGCTTCTGCACTTGTGGGTTACTGCTCAGCCAGGCTGGGGCAGGACGTGGCGTGGTGGCCGGCCACGTCGTGCAGCTGTGGTGTGCACAGAGGCTGAGGGTCCCCGTACACATGGGGTAGCCTGGGCAGAAGCGCAGGGCGGGCAGGACTCCCAGTGCCTCCACCAGGGCCCCTCGCACTCTGTGCCCACCGGGCCGCATACAAAACCAGGAACTCCACCACCCACAGCCAAGTAGCTCCTTTCTGTGCCCTTCGCCCCACCCAAGGTGACCTCTGTCCTCCCCTGCGGGACCGACAACCTCCTCCCCTCTGGAGAGCACTGACTGGTGAGGCTTCGTGCGATTCCTTATAGAGGGCGGGGCGCACGGGGCCTGACTGAAGGGGAGCCAGAGTGGCCGCAGCTCAGACACCTCTGGGCCAGGGCGGGGTGGATGGGAGGGAAGGTGGCCTCTACTCTGCCTGTCTTGAAGGCCTGCATCCACGCCAGGGCCGAGTCTCCACAGGAGGGCCTGCTGGGTTCTGGAGGCTCTGGAGGCCCCCTGCCTCTCTGATGGGGCCAGCACACGCCCACTCCCAGTGACACGCACCTTCTCGAAGGCGGCTCTAGAACACTGGTGGGGTGGGAGTTCCAGACCCTGAGGCCAGGAGAGGGACGGGGGGCGCACACGCGGGCCACCCCAGCCCGGGATGGCTAGAGGGGCCCCCGGGGCCCACGCTGAGGGAGAGGGAGAGGCTTGCTCTGTTTCTGCCCCGCCTGGTGTTTTGTTTGCGGAAAGGCTCCTGGGCTGGAAGCAAACTGGAACAAAACACCAAGGGCTGGCCCATGCCTGCGCCCAGGGCTGGCCCAGGGTTCTCCGGGCCCAGTGCAAAACTCAAACAAAGGGCCCTCGTGCAGAAGTTATTCAGGACTCAAGACGGGGCAGCAGGGCACTAACCAAGCACAGGCCCTTCTGAGCACAGGCACCTGTGTGACTGCACGGGCCACGTGCCCAGGTTGACGACTCTGTCCGTGGTAGTGGGGGGGCGAGGCAGCCCACACTGGGTCAGGGCAGAGCCGAATCTGTGTCCGAGGTAGGGCTCCCTCTGCCCAGACAGGGGCCTCGCTACCACACCCCACCAGTTCTGAATGGGTACAACTGTAGCCATGCCCACAACGAGGTGCGGGCAAAGGGCCTACGATGGATATCTGACCTGGAAACTCGATTTCTGTGCCAAGAAACCGCAGTGTGAAAGGAGAGACAGCCCCTGCCATTAGGGAACCTCCATCTAATGCGGGGGGTGGGGGGCACACCCTGTCCGGGGAACTCCCAGTCCCACGGGAAGACCAGAGAACCGGCCTGTTCTCGAGCGTCCCGGACCTCCCCTGTTTCCTCCCAGGGTCTGTAGGGGTGCTCCGGAGCCGGTTCCCTCCTCCGGCCCCTGGGCCACCAGCCCCTCCCAGTGGCTCGCCCTGACCTCTCCCTGCCCACACGCCGGGAGACCGCTCAGTGCCATGGGCTGCACCTGTGGTGTGTGGGCTGTGTGTGCGCCCTGGGGATGGCTGCCCGTGTCTGGAGGGGGTGTGCTCACTGGGGAACAGGCTCTGGTGCCCCTGGGCCTGTGACATTGTCCTGAACGGTGGGGATGGAGCAGCCTTTCCACACGCGCCTCCTTCCCCACGCGCCATGCAGGTTTCATGAGGCTTCAGCCTGTGCTCGGGTCAGGTAGGCGCTGTCATCCCATTGTACAGATGAGAAAACTGAGGGCCAGCGAGGGATGAGGCTTCCCCAGGGACACTCAGCTCTCACCTCTCAGAGGCAGGAAACTCAGGGAAGGGCGGCTGATGTGAAGCCCTTCAGACCATGTCAGGAGGTATTTGTGGACAGAGGCAGGGGGTCGGGGGCACATCAGAAGAGAAAGACTTGCCTGTCCCCCCAGGTGGCTACCGGATGAGGCCAGGGCTCCTGGGGCCACAGGAAGCACGTCCAGACCCATGACCTCCACAACTGGGTTAGGTGCAAGGGTGTCATGGGGGGTTGGATACAGCTGGGGTCAGGGAAAGCTTCCTGGAAGAGGTGGCACATCAGCTAGGCCCCAGGGGAGGGGGGCCCAGGACCAGAAACAGCAGATTTAGGGAGCAGAGCATCCAGTTTCTCCAGGCCCAGCCCTGGGGGCCACAACCTGGGCCTGGCCAGGCCCCACCCTGGCTGAGGGTGGCCATAGGGACAGCTGGGGCCTGGGAGACAGGGAGGGAGGGAGGAGGTGGGGAGGGGACCCCAGCTGGGGGCCGTGGGGATTGTCAGGCCCTGCCTAGAAGGTCCCACTATTGAAGAATGGATTATCCGACACCCAGATTAATAGACTTTCATTTTGCTAAACATCTGTCACTGTTAGTGCTGGCGAGTGAGCATGAAATGAGCTTTGACGGGGCTGCCTCTGTCGTGTCTGGCTGGGTGCTGCGGCTCCTGAGCCAGTGGCCTGCTCCGCGCAGGGCGGCACATGGTGGGCGGCCAGTGAGCGGGGCAGCTGAGGGGCTGCGGCACCGCCCCGACAGTCACTGGGGCACCACCCCAACAGGGTCGTCTCGCTCCCAGCCCTGCGCAGGGAGCTGCCCCCCGAGGGTCAGCTGTGGTCCCTGCGCCCCTCCTGAGGGCTGCCTCCTCCAAACAACATAAGGACAGCGGGAAGCATGTCCGTGAACTTCCCCTGTGCCCGATGTTGTTTTACGTACTTGTGCCGTTTAGCAGACTTTCCGTCTTCACAGCAGCCCTAGGAGGTAAGTGCTATCCTGCCTCGGTTACATGTGAGGAGACTGAGGCACAGGATGGGACGGGTTCAGTATCCCCGAGCTAGAAATGGTGGAGTCAGGCTTCCCGTCTGAAGCCCCAGCTGTAATCCACGACTCCCTCCAGTCGGCCACGGGACTGTCCCCAGTCTGTCCTTGCTGTGTCCGCATCTGGGGTGCGCCTAGGGGTCAGGGCTGGAGGGGTCAGGATGGAGCCGGCTCTGACGCCTCCCCCCCCCCCCGCGCCTTCCCCCAACCCCCGTGCCTCTGCAGCTGTACATCCAGACGACCACGCTGACCGTGTCGGTGAGTCTGAGCGCCTCCGTGTCCCTGGGGATGCTCTACATGCCCAAAGTCTACATCATCCTCTTCCACCCGGAGCAGAACGTGCCCAAGCGCAAGCGCAGCCTCAAAGCCGTCGTCACCGCGGCCACCATGTCCAACAAGTTCACGCAAAAGGGCGGCTTCCGGCCCAACGGCGAGGCCAAGTCTGAGCTTTGCGACAACCTGGAGGCTCCAGGTGAGTGCCTGGCCCCGCCCCTCTCCCTCTGGCCAGTGCAGGCCCCGCCCCCTCCCTGGAAGGGCCAGCCTCCCATCCCTGCCCCTAGCCTCGTCTTGCTGGGGTGCTGGGAGAACTCTGAGGTTTCGGGTGAGTGGCTGCCCACCCAGAAGGATCTGGGGAGAACCTTAGGGTGCAGGTTAGTACCTCTCTGCCCCGCCTGCCCATCCTGGTAGCAGGGGAGAACCTCCAGGACTCACCCCATGTCCATGGTGGTTTCACCCTTCCGGGGATCTCTGCTGTACCTAGAGGGAGGCCGTGGGGGGCCTGGTTAGTGCACTGTGATGGGAGACCCCCCACCCCAGGTTTCTCTGCCCTGGAGCCCCCAGTCGGGCCTGTGACTGCAGCCCCTCTACGAGGAGCCGTGGTATAGATGGCCCCTGCTCTCTGGCCCTCTGGTAACCTGGAAGCGGCGGCCCTGGCATCAACCCATCCTCCCCCTAGCAGGGCCCTAGACACAGGGACTCAGGACATGGGCCCTGATGGGTAAGCAAGGGGTGGGGAGGGGCATAAGGCCTCCAGAGGCCAGAGCTCTCAGGTGGCAGGGTGGCCCCGGGCTTGTCCAAGGAGACCTCAGGGGAGGGGAGGAGGGAGAGAGCCCGGCATCCCAGGGACAGGTCCAGGGTCTGGGCCTGAGCAGGACAGGTCCCTCCAGCTGGTTAAGGCATGTGTGCGGCAGGGAGCAGGGTCACCCTCCAGCCCCCTGTGTGAGAAAAGGAGATGGCGGGAAGAAGGGAGGAGCCCGGCAGCGAGGGGCAGGTCAGGCCTCGGACCAGCACCGGTGGGGACCACTGTCTCTTGAACTCCATGCGCCACACCCATCAGGTACCGGTTGCATCCTCCTCCCAGCAATCGGGGAAGGCAGGCATTTTTGTCATCCAGATAATACAGAGGAGGAAGGAGAGGCACAGAAAGGCAGGGGCTGACCCAGGCCTCACAGCCAGCAGGTGGCAGGGCTGGACCTGACCTCCCGCTATCCTGCTGCCCGCTGTCTCCTGGGACAGACCATGGCCTCTGTCCTGGAGAGCCGCATGCCGGGCCTCCACCTGTGGGGTGGGGGGCTCCCATGGGCCTTGCTTCTGGCTGATTCATGGTGGGGAGGGTCGAAGGGCCACTGTGGTCACCCCGCCTCACTGCAGACCTTGGCTCCCTTCCTGGACACCCTGTAAAGGGGCCACACGGCTTAGACGGCAGCATCTCCCTGCTCCCTGCCCTGAAAGTCTCTGGGGACACCAGACCCTGGTGGGACCTGGGAGTGAGCACTCTGCTTCCTCCGCCTGGTGCTGGTGCAGGGGGTGGGGGTGGGGGGAAGTCCGGAAGTGGACAGCGTCGATGGCAGCAGGAGGGATGTGGGCTAGACCATGGGCGGGCCCAGAGTACAGGCTACAGAGAGGAGCTCTTGTCGCCCACCCAGAGGTCAGGGAATGCCACTCCCAGTGTGTGGGGCTGGGGCAGCACCTCTCACAGGCTCCGCCTCGGGGCTTTGCGTGAAGCACTGTCCCTTCCCATCCCCAGCACAGGTTCCGCGTGTCCAGAGAGTAGTGAGTAGGGAAAGGACAGTCCCTTCCCAGTCCAAACAGGACTTTGCAACTGAGTGATCTTCCTAGCAGTCCTGAGAGGGCTGGTTGGGGCTGAGGTTCGATCCCCAGCTGAGGCTTCAAGAGGGTGAATGGTTTTCCTGAAGTCGCACAGCAGGGTGGCCGCTGGCTGAACCCACACTGTGTCTTCCCCCTGACCCGACTTCCCGTGGCCTCCCTGTCTCCAAGGTCCCCGTTCTCTTCTTCTTCTGTGTGGAGCACCTGGCTTCTGAAGCAGCGCCCCTTCCTCCGATCGACACCCCTGATGACTGTGTTGGCACCACCACCACCCTCCACCGCATGACCTCTGGTTCTCTCCGGTCCTGCTGCCCCTCCCCCTGGAGCACCGGCTTGTCTGTACCTACAGTCCTGGGGTTCCCTCCACGTGCCACCTGGGCCCCCCACTCTGAGACAGGTAGCGGCAGAGTAGCCTCAGGACTCCCCACCCCTGGCCTTTTGCATTTACAGAAATGCAGCCCCTAACCAGGCCCCCTGTCCTCAGCAGGGACGCCCCGCACCCTGCCCCGCACTCCTGACTGGGCCCCCGCCCTCCAGGCTGCACTGCTGGTACGGGGACAGGCCTGTCAGCCAGCTGTGCTCCAGGGCTCCTGAGAGTAAGTGGGGCATTAGCCCTCCCAGAGATGACACCCTGACCCCAAAAGGTGGCACTCGTGGTGCTGTGACAGGCCAGGGGACCATGGAGGGCCGGGGATCAGAGAGTTCTGATCGCACCAGATACGGAGGGCTGTGGAGGCATGGTGAGGGCAGGCTCAGTGCCCCCAGCCCCTCCCTCCTGCAGGGGAAGGATGAGAACTGCCCACTCACCGCCACCCCTGCAGACAGGGCCAGAGGCCAGAGCCCCTGGCCCCCACTGTCTCTCAGCTCTGTGACAGCAGGGGCCCCACAGGAGCCAGGTGATTAATTCCGGGGACGCCAGACGGAGGGGTTGTGAGCGGGAGGAGTGGGGAGGTGTCACTCCAGTGGAGCAGGGACATTTTTCACTCTGTCACTGGCAAGCCACGTATCTTTAAACAAACAGCAGAATAAATAATTCAGGGGCCCGATAGCAGGCAGGTTGGGTATGGAGACATGGGGGCGACAAGCGGGGCTGCCAGCTCATGCCTGCCACTGCCCAGCTAGTTGTTACCCGGGGCGGCCGAGCCGAGACCCCTGCAAGGGCCTGTCACCAGCACGGGGTGGGTCTGGGGCCTCTGCCCACAGCCCTCTGCCCCCCTCCCACACTGAGGATGCCCCGGGCGGTCGCTTTCCCTGCCCCTCCTCAGCGCTGTGGTTATCCAGCCCTGCCCCTGTACCCATCGGATCACAAGGCCTAGAGAGTATTTCCAGCCACCCAGTGGCTGAGAGCTGGCTCAGGGTTACGACCCATTTTCAGGTGAGACACTGGGGCTCCGACAGGTGCAGTTTGTTGGAAGGGCCACGCGGCAGGTACCGAGACCCCCTGTACTGGAGAGGGTAGGACAGGACCCCAAGTCTCCTGACTCCTGGCCACACCTTCCTTTTGTTCCTCACAGCTGGCCCCTGGGTGCCCCAGACAGATCATCGCCCCCGTCTCCAGGGGGTGATGCTCAAGGGACGCTCGGTCACGGGCTGGTGGCTGAGGGCTGGACACTTGCAGGTTCTGGAAGCCCTGGGTTGGCTTCTCTGTTGGAGACAGACCACCACTGGTCCTGTCTCAGAGGGACAGCAGGGCCCCGTCCCTCACCTCCCAGGCGCTTCTGTCCCCCACTGCCCTGGCGTCCTGGCAGCCGCCCTCGGGCTCCGACCCCCTGCAGTCGGGGGAGCTGCGCCTGCTGCACCTCCACCTCAGAGCCAGGGGCCGATGGGTTCATGGGTTTGGAAGCTCAGTTTTATCAGTTCACCCCGGGGGCTGATGGAGCCCTGGGGAGCAGATACTCACCAGCCGGCCTCCAGGGCACGATTCAGAGCTGGCTGCTGGCTCTTTTTGTGCTGGTGGGGTATCGGGTGGGGTATAGTGTCAGGTGGAGACATAGGGGTGGGGGTTCCCCTCAGGAAAACCCCTTTCATGTTACAGGTGGGGAAGCTGAGGCCTCGAAGGGCAGGGAAGGAGCAGCCGGAATCACACAGGGAGTGTGAGGCTCCTGCCTGCAGAGCCTGATCTGCTGGTCCTCCCACCTGCCTGTCTTTCAGCAGCTCTGCCCTCTCGGGGTCCAGCCCTAGTCCCTCAGTTCCCATCCCCAAGTTTGCCCCTGCCCAGGCCCCCTCCTGGATTCTGCTCCATCAAAACCGACCCATCCTGTAGTCCTTCCTCCTTATGGGTCACCCAGCACTCTAGAGGGCTGGGGGCCACTTTGCAAGTGAAGTGGGAATTCTCTGTGCACCACGAGGCATGGTGCTGCGTTCTCACTCTCCTCCTGGGTGGCACGGGCACCGTTCCCTTCCGTTAGCACCCGACAGGGTGGCGCCCAGCACTGGGAACGTCCCTGGGGCTGCCTAGCCTACTGCTGGTTCACTTTCTGCTCTAACATTTCTGCTGATGGGGGGCTGCCTACCACCTAGGGCCACCCCTCCCTTCTCAGCTCTGGCCAGGAGGAAGTTCCTCGGCTCAGCTGCACGCTCATCGCTGGCCTCCCCACTGGTCCACAGTGTGTCCCCCGCTCACGCCACCCCACCCCACACTGCCTCCGCCCACACCCGACGGGTCCCTAAGAGTGGGACACAGCAACCCTGCCTGTATCCGTGGGCTTCCAGTCACGCTGCTGTGACAAAGGCCCCCAACAGGGTGGCTCAGTCAGATGTTTCTGTCCGCTAGGATGGCTTGTGGTGGCAGGAGCGGGACCCAGACTCCTCCCATCTCGTTGTTCCACCCGCTCCAAGAGGGCCGCCTTTGTCCTCATGGCTGAGGCCGCTTGCCTTGCGTGTCTGTCCTGCCCACAGAAGGCAAACGAGAGGAGGTTCAGGGAAACTCGATGTCAGCAACATGACAGGGAAGTTGCACACGGCCGCTCTACTCACAGGCCGGCAGGGATGTTGTAGTGCAGGGCTGCACTCGGCTGCGAGGGAGGCTGGGCGATGTGGTCCCGTATTCTGGCTGTGTGAGCCCAGCACAGATGGGGAAGGGGGCTGAGGGGACGGGGTACAGCCTGCCACGCTGTACCCCTCAGTGTCCTTTCCTCCAGGCCGCGTGCTCCTTTCCTGAGCCGGTGGGGTGCTGGGGAGGGTCAGGGCAGCTTTATGACAAAGGACACCACCGTTCTCTCCCAGCCCGCCTCTCCTCTGCAGCAGCCAACCGGCTCCTGCCCCCCCCCCCACGGCAGCAGTCGGCCCCTGATCACCCTCCACTGGGAGGCCCCAGGGGACGGAGGGAGGCCCTGAACCCCAGCTGGACAGGACACAACCGAGCACCTGGCCAGGCCCCTCACCCTTCAAACAGGGGTGACACCTCTCTGGCCCCTCGCTGGGTCGCTGTGAGGTCTGAGCCCTGCGGGAGCACTTGCTCGTGCTGCCTCTGGAGTGGATGTCACCCAGCGGGGGTGGGGGACGAAGGCTGCGGCGGGGGATGGGAGCTGCTCAGACAGGCACCCCCGGTCTCAGGGGTGGGCGAGTGAGGGCCAGGGGTGGGTGCAGATGAGGGAGGCTCAAGGCTGGGGAGAGACGGGGCCACCCAGACACGGGAAGGGCAGGCTGAGGAGACTGAGCACTTCCGTCCCCCCTTCCCTGCCCCGGTTGTGGGGGAGGGCCGAGTGGGATGCCTCCATTTCTAGCTTCTCGAGGCCCCTCTGGCTCCATTGTTGATTTCCTGTCCCGCTCCCTGCTCACTTGCTGCAGGCTGCCAGTCTCTGCGTTCTGGGCACGGGGTCTCTTCCTGGCCGTGTGCTGTTGGGCTTCTGAAGACCTTCCCGTTGGGAGGCAGTCGGCCTCTGAGCGGCAGAGGGGCTGGGGTCCCAACCCCCACGCAGCCAGAAACACGCACATAACTTTCGACACCCTCTGGCTGTCTCTCCAGGACCCCCGTGGACACCAAACCCGCAGGCGCTCACATCCTCTGTTTAAAATGCTGTGCCTGCTGCAGGCTGTCCGCGCACGGGTTGAAAACTCTGCAGTACTCACTGACAGAAAGAAACCTCTGCATAGTTCAAACCTGTGTTAAGGGTCAACTATGTTTTAAAAATATCTATTTTTTATATCACAAATAAAAATGGCTCTGTTAAAATGTGGTGGAGTCAGGAGTGGCAGGGGCTCTGTGGGGAGCAGACCCTCACAGAGGGGTGGGGCCTGGGGGGAGCGCTCATGGGGGTCAGGTGTACAGGGAGGGCACTCCAGGCAAACAGCCCCGCCCAAGCAAAGGTGGGAAGGTGGGAAGGATAAGCCAGGAGGCTGGGCCCAGTGCCAGGAGTTGGGGGCAGTGGAGGAACAGAGCCCGGTGCCCAGTTGGGGGGATGTGGACTGCTCGGTTCAGGGTCTGGACTTGATTCTGTGGGGGGCAGTGCCTGTACAGCAGAGGGTCTGAAGAACTAGCCACTGAATCTTGGGTACCCCTGGCCTCTCTCTTTCCAGTGCTGACCACCAAACAGACCTACGTCACCTACACCAACCATGCAATCTAGCCAGCCTGCCAGAGCCGGACAGGAGGAGGAACTGAGACCCTTGTGGAGACCCTCGTGGATGGCGCGTCGAGCCAGGGCCGCCCTCCCAGGGGCCCAGCTGGTGTCCTGCATACCCGTGGCCACCCACGGATGTGGTTTGGTGCTGAGGACGGCAGAACCCCAGCGGTCACTGCTGGGTAGCCTGCACAAGCTGCAAGGGGGCAGCAGGAGGAGGGTGCGGGGCTGGGGCAGCCACAGCCCCTCTGGAGCCTGCGTCTGGGACCAGGGCCTCTCCCGGCCCCAAGTCACGGGGCCGGGTCGTGGGGGCCTCAAGCTGATTTTTTTTCTTTCTCCCTCTGTCTCTGCCGACCCCTGGGTGACCTTCTCAGTCGTCCCCACTGTGTCTTTATTTTCCCTTATCTTTCTGTACTGCCTTCTTTTCTCTCTGCCTTCACCCATCTGTGTGCTCTGCTTTCTGTTTGTTTGTTTGTTTTTTTCTGACCCTGCCTTCTCTTACGAACTCTGTCTCCAGGTCCCTGGTGCGTTTTCCTTTCCTGTCCTCACCCCTCCCCATCTTCATTTACAGCCGCCTCCGCCCTGCCCTCCCCGCCACCTCTCCCAAGTCACTGAATCTTACATGTCACAAAAGAGAAAAAAGGAAAAAAATTGAAACTGAAAAAAGCCAAACAAAAACAAACCTGGAGTCGTCACTGAGCGCCGCGTCCTCCAGGTGGCCTCTGCGCCCCCATTGCCTGCAGCCCGCCCGCCCGCCGTCTGCCGTGCGTCCTGCCCGCCTGCCCCTCCTGCGATGACTCGGAGTTCAGTGCCTGGGTGTTTGGTGATGGTCAGTGATGACAATGTGTAGCGCATGATTGTTTTTATACCAAGAACATTTCTAATAAAAATAAACACATGGTTTTGCACCCTGGCTTCACGTCCACTGAGGCCCGACAGAGGGACCCCAGGCCAGCCCTCAGCCGGAAGGCTGCAGGCAGGGGAAGGAGGAAGTGGGTGACAGGGACCTGGAGCGTGGGGTGGTGCAGGCTGCGACCTGGGTTGGCGTCCAGTGGGGGCGTGGAGAAGCCTTGGACAGGAAGGGGCTGGGACACTGTTACAGAACAGGGCCAAGGGGGGTTGCAATATACTATTACTGAAAGGACCCCCCACTAGGTTCACTATGCCCACCGCCAGAGGAAAGACGTCTCTCGATGCCAAAGATTCATGAAAAGGAAAGGAAATGTTTATTTAAGGCTATACAGACTTAAAGTAGCGACCCAATGTCTTCATTAAAATATTAAAGTCCTTTAGGATACCCACAGATGCCCACAGTCCTTCCTTCTCCCTCTGCCCTAATCTGGGGTACTGTATCTCAGGAGAAGAAGCAGAAGTCCATGATTCAGGCTCCTGGCACCATCAGCTGTGTCACCACCGTGATCTCCAATTAATCCAAAGCCATGTGGCACCTTCTCATGGACCACCAGCAAGAGTCCTTTCACCCCTTTTCTTCCAGGCAAAGTCTCTCCTGCTTCCTAGGCCACATGGCAAAAGGAAGCAACTCAAAGCTACGTAGTCCCCACTCTGCCAAAACCATGTGGTTCTCTCTCCTCATGGCTGCCAAGTCTGGGTTTGAAACCCCACACCAACCTTCCTTTGTACCCCCATTTCTGACTCCTCCTACAATGAGTTACACCTGCCAGCATTCCTGTATTATTTCAAGTTTACTGGGCTGCCATCGTGAGTCTGGGCAGGTGTGGCCCCATGTCATGGAGCCAATCTTCTCCAAGCTCTCACGCAGGTGCTGTAACCAGGAGGAGCTGCCTCCCAGTTACATCCTGGGTGGAAGTCACTCCCATCTCCCTGGCTCCAAGCATGGCCACAGCTATTTAACATATTTATGCAACCAGTTAAAGGTTATCGATGTGTTAAATGACCATGCCAGAGGTTAGCTGCAAAGTCATTGCTGTACAAAACAGCTCTGCATGTTCCTGCTCCTCGTGTCCCTTCCCCCGACTCACACCTGTGAGGGAAGGAGGGAGGACATCCTGTATATCTTTCTAATATTTCTGGACACCTTGAGTTCTGGACCCCATTCCAAATCCCTATTTGGGGCCCTCCTCTTGGCTGCACCCTGTTACAATACTGTGGAAGATTCCAGAAGTCAGCCCCTGCTGGTAAGGGGGATAGTCTGTCCCTGGCCTCTGCCTTGCAGCCCTTAAGGAAGGTATCATTTTTGCCTGCCTTTCCTCTGGCTCACATCCTTCACCTGGGGATCCCCACCCCCACCCCATAACCTGAGCCCCCCACCCCGCAACCAGGGGACTCTCTTGAGGAATTGGCTTCCAGAACTCCCAGCACCCACTGCCTTCCCCTCCTGCGTGCCCTGTCTTCAGCTCACAGGTGCCAGGGTGATGTGCGTGGCCCGCGTCCAGGTGGGCCAGGTGCACGGCACAGCGGAGCGTGTGTGTGGCCTCCCCGGCTCCTTGTGTGTGTCTGCTCTGGCCGCGTGTGTGCGTAGGTGTTTGTACAGGCCCAAATGGGTGTGAGTCCATGTCGCACCCACCTGTGCAGGTGCCTGTCCCTGGCCGGCATTGAGGGTGTGATTGTGTGTCCACAAAAGTTGGCTTCGCTGGCAGGTTGGGAGGGAGGGAGTGGGGAGAGGCTGAGGGGATGGGCCCTGGCAGGGCTACGTTATAGAGCCAGCGACACAGCGAGGCCACAGGCAGCAGCTGGAGCCCAGGCGGCTGGGGCTGCTTCCCGTCACCCCCCTCCGAGGCTGGTGGAGTGTGGGGCACTGTGGCCAAGGGCCCAGAGGGGCTCTGGTGGGAGTCAGGCAAGGAGGGATTGCATGTGAAGGTGTGTGGAGGTGAGGTGGGCAGCACTGAGTCGTGCCAGGTGCTGGTGCCCTTTGGGTAAGCCCATCTTGTTCCCAGGGGTGGCTGGTCTCAAGAGAATGCACCTGTGCCAGGAAACCTGCTCTCTGGAGGGCTTGTGGGCGCTTGCGCGCCATCGACCGCGTGCTCCGTAACTGTTTGTGTCAGGGGAGGAGGGAACGTGGGTGTTTCTCACCGGTGGTCTCGCTTTTGCAGATGGACTCTAAGATCCAGGATAGATCCTACCTAGTGACCCAAGCTGACCAGGCAAAACCGGTTGTCGGACCAGGGCCAGAGCTTCCGGGGCAGTATTTGCGTGTGTGTTGGGGGGAGGAGTTGGTTGTACCAGGGGAGGGCGGCCAGTCCTTCCACCCCTGGCGATTCCCTGACGGCACCCCAGCCCTGCACCTGGCCCCACCTCTGGCTCACTTCCCTCTCAAGGTGGTCGCCACACTGAGGCCCAAGGCCAGGCAAGTTCAAAGCCTGACCTGGAACCCAAGGGTTGGGTGCTCAGCCCAGGACTTGTCCAGCTGACCCTCACATCTGTGGGGCCTCCTCTAGGTTCTGGGGGACAATGACCTGTCCAGGAGGGGCGCTGTCCCTCCTACTCCCCTCAGCACCAAGGAGAGGCCAGCGAGGGACCCAGGTCAGCCCTCAAAATCTTGTGGGGAGGAGTGGGCCAGGGCAGGCGCCTGGTGGGGCCTGTCGAACATCCCTGAGACGTGGTTTAGTCCCGCCAGCCCGGGGCTCTGAGAGGGAGCAGGTGGGGAGACCACCAGTCTGCTGGGGAGACTCCGCCCTCAGGGAACCAATCAGTCCAAGAAATGCTGCTGGTCCCAGAGTTGCACAGTTGTGGGAACGGGGTGGGGTGGGTGGGGAAACCCTGGGTGGGGAATGAATTCTGAGCACTGAGGTGCAGAGAAGAGGTGTGCGGGCTTCATGGGCCTGAGGGCCCGGACCGGTCCCCAGCAGGCCTTTCGGAGGTCGGCCGGCGGCAGCAGTGGGGGAGGGTGGGGACCACCCATCACCTAGAGGGCACGGGCCAGTGCAGCAGGGCTGGGCTCCACGTGTGGCGGGGAAACCGTGCTGATGCCCACAGTGGGGAAGGCCCAGGGCCCTTCCTGGGCCAGGTGGCTTCTCATCTTTGCTCCATGTCCCAAATTATGAATTCCCTGGACTCATGTGGGACACCCAGGAAAGGTGGACAAGTGCTCAGTACCTACAGAATTTTGTATTTTAATAAATTGGGGGGTTTTCAGTGCCCCTGGTCCCTGGACAGAGACCTGGTGGCCCCCAGAGACCGTTGCTCTGCAAGAGGGGCAAAGGGGTCCCCACAGGCTCTGTGCTCCCGCCTCTTCCCGGGCCTCAGCTTCCCAGCCGGAGGCCAGGCCCGGAGGTGAGCTCAGCGGCAGCCCCCGGGCTGGTCTCAGGGCGGAGGAAAGGGGATTCTGCCTTTCAGATGAGCCAGCCCCTCCCCGGGAGGTTTGGGTCCGAGACTCTCTGGGCGGGCCCTGCAGGAGTTTGTTCTCCAAGCTCCCCAGGAGGTTCGCATGCAGCCCCGGGGGTCAGATGAAGCCCTGTGGAGCCGCAGAACCCTTTCTTTAAATCAGCGAGCAGCATCCCGGGGGTCTGGTTAGTAAAGCGGATTATGGGCCCCGTTCCCCGCCTGCTGGCCCGGAAGCCCTGGGATGGGGTCCCGAGGTCTGCCTCTCCGGGCACTGCAGTGCAAGCCTGAGTGTGAGAACCACCACCTGTTCAAAGGTCAAGGCGTGTGGCTGAACTGTGTTTGGGGCAGGCAGGAGGGCGAGTCCAGGCCTAGGGCTACCAGGCCAGGGAGAGTCTTGGGGTGCAGCGCCCACACTGCTGAAACCAGGAATGTCCCGGAAAGACTAGATAAACTGGCCACCCTGTGAGACCCCCTTCAGCACCCTTTCCGCAGGTGTTAGGTGCCTACTGCGGGCCAGGTCCTGGGTATACAGAGGTGCACGAGTCGTGTGGTGCCTGACCTTGGGGTTTCAGCATCAGAAGGGAGCAACACCCACTCGAGAGCTTGTCAGAGCTCAACACCAAGACTGGGGATGCTACCAGCCCTGAGCAGGAGCCCACGAGCTACCAGGTGCTGGACACGCAGGGCACTTTGGTGGAACCCGAAGGACCCTGGGGACTCACGCGGCTTTGGCAGCAGTATACAAACTCGGGTCCCTTCCAGCTCCGGTGGTTGGCTCTGAGTGCCAGTGTCCCATGTCTGGAGGCACAGGAGAAGGGGGCCAGGGAGCGGCCTGTTAGCACCCCACCGGTGCCCCACCCCACCTCAGCCTGCAGGCCCAGGGAGGGGTCCTCAGGGGCCACGTGATGATGCTGAGCTTCCAGGAGGCTGTGTGGCCCCCTCCAGCCAGAGGACAGGCCTTTTCTTCGATACTTTGAGCGGGGCCTGCTGCTCCCCCTCCCAGCTTGGGTTCCCATCTTCCGCTGAACGGTGAGGGGAGTCTGAGGCGCCCTCCCCGCCCTCCTGCTTGCCTGGCACTGCCCGGCTGCCCCACAGGGCCGGGCCCTGGCACGCTGAGCGCTGCAGGCCTTCCACCTCCCCAAAGACACCGCGGCACTGAATGGCACACAGTGCCAAATGCTCCCTTCAGCTGGCAAAAGCAGCAATTAGTGTCTAATGAGGTTCCTTGCTTTATTTTTAGGTAACCTCCAAGGCCCTGCCTGTGTAATTCAGCCCGCCATTGCTTGGCAGATAATTAAAGCATGTCACCATAATTTGCCCTTTAAAAAAAATAAAGCTGGTAATTATGTTTTTATTGCAAGTGAGGGGGAACGAAGAGGGACAGAAAACAAAGAGGGGTGGAGCCGGGGCCAGAGTGGGCTCGCTCCGGTGCTCCGGTGCTTCTGCGCAGGAGCCAGGAACCCGCCAGCCCCGCGGCCTCCTGAACTTCAAAGGCGGTTCTGCCCAAGGCCCCTCCTTGCTGGCTTCCCTGGCCTGCGCTTCTGGAGTTCTCCTCTTCCAGGATT